AACACTCTCACACTCCAGGCTCCTTATCCTCCTTTGCCGGTGTCCTCATGCTTCTCGACCACATATACACCGAATCACCCGATACCCTCGATTACATGCGATACGGGGGGATCATCTCTGCCTTGGTGTCGTCGTTAGACATCACGGCGGTTCAATCTTCGCCGCATCCACTAGGTCTTACGACTCTCTTGCAGCTCCTGTCTGCATCTCCAGGGTACCCTTGGGTGCTCGAGGCTGTCCGCGCGGGGTTCCTCGACCACGTTGTCTCGACGGGGGTGAGAATAGGTTCTGGCCAAGTACCTGACTTGGATCATTTCTTAGGGCTTCTGGGGACTGTTTTGCCCCTCAGTCTGGTGTCTTGCAGGGTCGTCGTCGCGATGAAAGAAGCTTTTTCCAGGCTCGAGGCGCAGACTCGCCACGTCAACTTTACTCGCTCGACGCTTTATGCCAAGTGGAACGATCTGAAGGCCTTGGTGCACGAGCGGGCAAGGGTTTTGGAGGTATGGGAGGCTTCCGGCCGAGAATCGTTTCTAGGGTGCTATAATCTGAAGGTAAGCCGTGCATGAGTCGATTCCCAGCAAAAGCACTAATGGAACCCAGTGCGACAAGGTTGACAAGAAGCAGAAATTCCGACGTTGCTCAGTCTGCAACACCGCCGCATACTGTTCTCGGGAGTGTCAGCGCGTCGACTGGATTGATGGACATCGCGACGACTGCCTTGTCTTTCTGCGTGGCCATTGTGGTATGTCCATTATAGGTATCTGTCCCATATCTGTCTCGCCTTACATTCAACACTTGTAGAATTCAGTAGCATCGGCCTCACATACCGTGAGACCTCATTTCTCCACGCACTTGTGGCTGCCGACTACCAACGTCTACGCCTCGGAATTCTGCGCGACATGATAACATTCATATCAACCAACCCCAATACTCAGTTCTATCTTTGCTTCGACTACACCGGTTCCGGCGCCGTTCAGCTGACCATCTCGCCACTCCCCCAGTTGGACACACCCCATCCGCACCCAGCGCGCGTCGCACGGTCAGGCGGACTTCTCGTTATGCATATCATTCGCATTCCGCACGGGACGCCGAAGGGGACGCCCCGTTCGAGTTATATGATGTGGCCGCTTCGTGCCACGAATTCTCGACTTTACGAAGGATTGGTACATATTGCCCGCATGGTGGGCGGTGGGTTGGGGGATGCAGAGATGCGATCGCGACTCCTGCATTTGATTCGGGAGACTGAGAAGGACGGAGATTACAGGGAGTGTCATCTTTGAACTATTTTCTTGAAAATCTATGTGCTATATCAGAATCGGATACGTACATTCATGTATGATTAGCAGTGGCACTCGGCACTATCCTCGCCCGTCTCTTTGACTAAATTCTGCACAAGAGCCTCCACTTGTTCGTCCGATAATCCACTCGCCTCGTGCGATATGCGCACCAGCCCATCGTAGAAGTGCGAACTCGCTGCGCGAAGCGGCCAAATTACATGGCTCTGACGTCCAGTGCCATGCGAAATACGGATCAGATAGAGGACGAGGCGTCCATTGGAACGGGCAACACGGGCCGAGTGCGGGTTGGGGAGGTGCAACTCGGAGAGTGGCCAGACGGATATTCGGATTCCGGCGGCTGGGGGCCCTGGACTCGCGTAGTTGAGACGAACGAAGAACGGCGTGTCGGGATGGGCTGCCATGAATTGTATCATGTCTACTGCGATTGCGACCCGAAGACGGCGATAGTCGGAAGCCACAAGCGCATGTATAAACGATCTCTCGCGGTATCTAAGCCCAATACGAGAGAATTCTGAAGCCATTTAGGACTAGATATGGAACGAAACGGAATACACCAACGACGATGCATGTACAGAAAAGAATGGCAGTCTTCGCGGTGTCCATCCGTCCAGTCGGCGCGCTGACAAGCAGTCGAGCAATATGCGGCGGTGCTGCAGACCGAACAACGTTGAAATTTTTGTTTGTAGTCAACGTTGTCGCACTGGAGGCCCATGAGACTGAAAATTATGGGTCGGGTCAGCACTCACCTCCAGGTTATAACAGCCCAAAGACAATGGTCGGGCCAAGGCGTTCCATGCGTCCAACACCCCTGCCCGCTCATCGACCAAGGCCTTGAGATTGTGCCACATGGGAAACAACATTGAGCGACAGAACCTCTCGTCATGGGACGCAGTCTCGACTCGAGAAAACGCCCGCTTCATCTCCACGATGGCCGGGTAAAATATCAAACTTTGTGGAAGAACGGTTTCCAGCAACTCGGAGAAATGGCCGAGGTCTGCCATTGGTGCAGAGCCTATCTTCATGCCGGTGGAAATGACATGGCTGCAGAGACCGGCGCGGAGAGCCTCCATAACCCAAGGGTACCCCGGGGAGACGGAGAAAAGCTGTATGAGCGGTGCAATCCCTAATGGCACTCCCGTAGGCCCTTCAGGATGTCCCAGACGGGGTGAACCGAGTAGCTCGATGGCTAGAGTTGGTACCCAAGCTGAAACCACCCCGTTGTGTGGCAAGGAATCGTAGATATCGGGGGCGACTTGATACAAGTGGTCCAGAAGCAAGGATATCCCGGAATAAGCGGAAGCCACGGCAAAGGACTTTGAGTGCGTGGTGACGAGGGATATGGTCTGTTTCAAGACTGATACAAGGGCGTGGTGGCTCCCGCCGCATCCCTCAACCAGTTCCGACAGTTCCTGTCCGTCGGGGGTGGATCCCGGTGTACTGAGCTTGATCGCCGCACGCAGACAGGCTCCAATAGCGGACAGCCGTGTCGAGGGATCGTATTTGCTTGAACCCTGGAGTAGCACTCTCCAACCCACACAGAGTACTCGGGTAATGCCAGGTGTTGTGAGCATGGCCTGGTGAGTTGGGGGGTGTTTCATGAATTCGTGAACGATTCTCGGCAGAGGGCAATAGATGGTTGACGCTTGCAAAGCAGTCGATGAGCATTCGCCGTACAAGTAGAGAAAGTCGACCCATTGCCACAGTCGAGGCCAGAGATCGGCCGCTGCGGCCAGCGGAAAGTGTGGGTTTCTGACCATCTTTTCCAGAAAAGCCAGTGTTATGAGGGCGCTTTCTGCGGCGGGCACCTCTTCGGCTATCGACAGAGTATCCAAAACGCCCGCGGAGGGAATTAACAACGGATCGAGGGTCGAGTAGATGACAGGTAGCAGACCGAGGGCTTCCTCGTCACCAACAGTCCGCAGTCGCGTAAGAACAAGGGGTGAGATGCCCGTCCATGATCGCGGGGCAATTATTTTTCGTGCGAAGGGCTGAGGAGGCGGTGAGTACGGATGCAAGCGCGAGGTGGATGCAATACTTGGAAAGAACGACGCAGGAGGGACAAATTTTGCGGGAGGACGGCAGGGTGAATGGTGGTCATATGCAAGCTTGAAGGAGTAGGGGTACTCCTTATCGGATCCGGTTGCCATCACATGTCTTTGACGTGCGCGATGGTGATTGCCAGACTTGCCTGCCGTTGGCCATGAGGCCCTATCGCCTCCCATCAGGGGCCCTGTTTGGGCCCCAGAGTCGCCAAGCTCCCTCTGCCACTGGCTCCGTTCCCGGCGGTCCCATGGCAATGTACTTACCTGGAATGCCGAAACTTTCTGTCCTTCCGATCTGGTTTTCCTAGTCCGACGGTGTCGATACGTATAACAAATACTCCGAAATATCGTCCTGGCTTGACTTTGGCCACGATACTCGGTGAGTGGGGATCTAGACCAAAAGAGTGCTTGCAACCGTCCAACTATCTGGAAAGCGAACTCGAATGGAGAAAGACAGATGTCTTTTGGGAGTGGCGGAATGTACGTGGTACGTGGGTTGTTTCGTGATACGCGAAATGAGGTACTGAAGTCCTGTAATAACAGAACGTCAATGGATACGACGAAGAATGTACTCTTCGTGAGTAGATTCGAGCGAGTAAGACAGGAGGGCAAATATGGCAGAAAGCAGAGTCGTAGGAGGTTATTCTCTCCTTGGACAGATGTTTGGAAGCACTAGGCAAATTCTCTTTGCGATAGAGAATGATGGGTAGAAATGCGACATTTCACTACTACATACATCTTGGCTTATATACGGCCAGAGACCCAAAATAGAGGAAACAAACAATGAAACAATGAAAATGCAACCAAGAGATTATCAGTGGATAAAACAAAGAGCCAGTGTAAATGGGGATGTTCCTGAATGCAGGGGTGACCGTGTAAAAATCCAAAAGAGCCCAGGAATTCGGTAGCGGTCGTGCGTCCAATAGAAAGTCGAAACGCAGAGTCATCTGCCCATTTTGTCCGCATGGTGCCCGGAAATGTATTTCTTGCGGCGGCTCGGGGTTCTAATGAATGCAGGGTCACATGCTTCCATAGAGAAGTAAAAGGTTTAGGGTATAGGTCGGGCGGCCGAGCGAAACGATGTTTTCCAAAACCCGATCGGAAATTGCCGAACACTTTTCCATGGTTCGATCCCAGCCGTGTGCATGCGCGCGCAACTCATATTCCAGTAGAATGAAACATATGGAATCACTGGCACATTGGAGGGAATCGTGAATGGATTGTGGATGTGAGGGAATGGCAGTTCCGAGGGTATTTTCATGTAAAACCATGAAATGGTGTCACAACGGTCCACGGAATGTCAGAGTCTGCGGGAGAGCAGATGAGACGTGGATGGTTGCCTTGGAACCTCTTAGAATTGCCACAATCCAAGGCTCCCTGATGCCCAGCAGGTGAGTCCCATTTCGAAGGTAGTAAGTATTCAGTGTTCACTAATCCAATTAACTGCCAATACAACCAAAAGTCCTCCATCCTCGACAATTTACTGCAAATTTACTGGTGTCAAATTGAGGCATGCAGATTCAAAAGGGTACTCTCGACCTGGAATCTAACCAGCCGGGTCCAGCCACCCGACACGACGTAGCCACCCGGAACCGCACGGGTCACGCAAAGTCTCTAATTCATTGGCCAAGCTATATAGGGGTGGACACCGACCTTCATCGGCCGCGTGGCAAAATGGTTACTGCGTTGCTTTCCGGCTACAGCATTAGCTTCTGGTTAGGCAGAGATTGTGCGTTCGATCCGCACCGTGGTCGGGTCCTTTTTTTGTCATTCTTTTTCGAATAAAATGCTGTTAGCCAGCGACCCACAACACTTTGTGCATCCCCTATCTCATTTGCTCAGCACTCAAATTAGACCAGTGCAAGTGACGTGCAATGTCTCCCCTTCTGATTCGCGAATGTCAATGCGCCGCATCAATGATCGGCCCCACATCTTGTTCCTGACTCCCACCACCACTTTGGCCACCCCTCCTTTCTGGGCTACTTCTTGTCGCCCTTACTCCAGACATCTGTCAATGTGTTGGGGGTACAATCACGGACACGGCCCTGACGGACACCAGCTCAGCGTCATCCGAAGGCAGTACTACCTAGTCCTTCGCTGGCTCAAATCACACACGATTCACGGAGATAGCTGGCGGCTACCTAGATCATGTCTGCTGTGTACGCGCCGTGAGTCCGTGACTTGATACGTGGAGCCAGGTAGGAGGCGCGCATCGGAGGCGGGGGCGGAGGCGGAGGCGGAAGGGAGCACGTTGAACTAATTTCTGCCGTCGGTGATTTCTTGCCGGTGCCAAAATTGCCAAAACGTTAACATTGCATTGCAATTCAGTAACATCCCTGGTATCAACAAAATCTTACACGATCGGTCACCCCGTGTAGTCCTTTTACTGGCTCGAATCACACACGATTCACGGAGATAGCTGGCCGCTAGCTCAGACTCGGACTCCACTGCCGACAGGGAGTGTATTGTCGTCGGTGATGGGGTCATGGCCGACGTCTATGGATTACCAATTCGTCTGCGGATTGGCCGCTCCATTCTTGACTGTCTGGATCAACGTCGGCTACGATTGGACGTTTCAATACACAGCGGAACCTAACTCGACCTGGGAGCATTTGAAATGGAATTTGAACGGATCCAGCGCTCGGGACGGCGTCACGGAACCCTCGGGTGTTTCTGACGACCTAAAGGTTGACTATCCCTTGACGAGTATATGCGTTGCGGTTCGTTCCCACTCTAGTGTCTATTCAAGTGAGTGGCGAGATCCGGGGTATGCATTTGCAGGAGCGTATATTAAGCAGGGCGCCGCAACTAAAGAACCATCCCCCTTAGCTGCCATGCCTGTTGCTCTTCCAACGTTCGGCAGCTTTGATTTCGTCGCACAGACAAAGGTGCGTCCTTATCTCTCCACCGGTACCCTAGCGTTAAACTGGCACAGGAAAACCTCCCATGGGCCGACCTCCCGACTCTGGACCTATCCCTTTACTCCTCCCCATCGAACCGCACACAACTCGCCCAAGAACTGATCTCCGCCATCCACACGCACGGATTCTTCTACGTGAAAAACTTTGGCGTCGCCCCCGAGGCTGTGGACCGGCAATTCGACATTGGCAGGCAGTTCTACGAACAGGTGCCGCTTTCTGAAAAGATGCTCTATGTCCCCCCGAACTTCACAGAGGGTGGGTTCAATGGGTATATGCCTGCTGGGCGGATTGTTGTTGATCCAAATACGGGGCTGAGGGATAAGGTCGAGGTTTATAATATTCCGAGTGAGATTTGCTCACACCGTGGCGCTTTTTGGCTGATAAGAGTTAGAATTCAACGGTGATTTCGCGCAAGATCATCCGGACGCGGTAGCCCGCAATCTAGTCGAAATCGAGGTGTTCGTTCGGGTATGTGGGATTTGCTAGTTAATCTTGGCTACACAGATTGATATTCAGCTTCTGATAGGAAATCCAAAAGAAGATTGTCGAGCCACTGCTTACGCTCGTTGCCATCGCGCTCGAGCTCCCCGAAGATTATCTCACTAATATGCATCAGTATGAGGTCAAGAGCGAGGTCTATCCGTCTTTTTTTTGTCGGATGCCTGCGATTCTCATTCGTTTAAAACCAGGATCATATCAGGTATGTGGCAGCCAATGCAGGCCAGTCTCATGTCTGCCTGTCTGCTGCTTAGAAAGATAGATGCGATGTTTATCGACGGATAGGTACATGAAGTGCGGCAAGCACCCAATGGAAGACAACAAGCGTCTGGCCGCGTGGGTGCCAGGTCATACCGGTTCGTTTTCTCTCTCTCCCTCAAGTGCTTCTCTTATACGAGCATGCAGACCTCGGCTCTTTCACCCTCCTCTTCCGTCAGCCTGTCGCCGGACTCCAAATCGCCGATCCCACGACCGGAGAGTGGCGCTACGTGCGCCCGCAAAACGGAATGCTGACAGTCAACACCTGCGATGCATTGCAGCTGCTCACCGCTGGCTACGTCAAGAGTACCGTCCATCGCGTAGTTCCTCCACCCGTGGATCAGCAGCAGGTGGATCGGTTGGGCTTGTTGTATTTCTCCAGGTCGGTGAAACTGCGGCTGGGAAAGACGGGCGGGGTGTATATTTATTACTTGCAGGCCGCATAACGACGTGAAGCTGGCCACTATCCAAGATTCTCCTCTGCTAAAGCGGGAGGGGTACATCGAGAATCTGTTCGAGGCGAGTGGGAATCCTGTGCCGACTATGGAGGGTGCGTCTCTGGTTTTCTTTCCTGTCGTCAAGTCCCATCTAATTTTGTATGCAGAGTGGACATTCGCGAAACAAAAGTGGCAGCGGACGGGATATTTGGGGCCCAAGGAGGCGTCGAAGGAGGTGTTGCCCGGTTTTTCGGAGAAGGTTTATACGTAGGGCGATGCACAGGAGATTGGATTGAATCGTGTATTATGCACCAGGGCCAGATCGTACAGACTAGAAGAGACTAAGCAGTAAGTACGCTGCCGCACTGCGGCAGTCCGATCCGATAACACCAAGGACAGAGACACCTCATATCAGTGATCACACAGCCTCCTATTCTTCCTATCCCAAGACAACAATTGTTACAAAATGCTCGTGAATACAGTCTGCTTAAACCTTGACCCATCCCTTGGCCTCGTAATCTTCCAGCGTCTCCTTGACAGTGTCCTGAATGCTCGTAAACTTGATCCCGAGGACCTTCTGTGCGCGGGTGTTATCCATGTCCCGTGGGCGGGAGGTGATGCTGCCGATGGCACCATTTTGGTAGTGCGTCGCATTAGCAGGGGCGGCGTCGACTATACAGCCCATCAGTATCCTCGTTTTCAAGGCATTGAGTTGAGCACGCACGCATATCCTGCCAAGTGTACCCAAAGCCACCAATAATAAAGCGGTTGACGTTCTTGCCCTCGGCCTTGGAAACGGCTGAGAGAGGGACGTAGGGAGGAAGCTCGCGCGTGATGGCGAGGAGGTGCGCGAGGCCGACGTCCTTGACATTGGCCCACTGCCCGCCGCCAGTCTTGGAGCCCTCAGTTGTGAACGCGTTGAACATCATCTTGGTGGAGGTATTGAGCTCAGATGGACCAGAGACTTCGTGGAGGACGGGCTGCAGCAGATCAACTTGGTGAATACACAAGGAAGGGAGGAAGACGTACGCCGAGGATCAGAGGCGGATTCAGAGCAGCGATGTCCCAGCCCACTTCGTCCTTGTACTTGTCGAAAAACTCCCAGGCAGAGCGCTCCGCAAGCACCTTCGAGTTGCAGTATTTGTCAAAATTACCGGCGGCAGCGCCTTTCTCGGCGACGGCTTGGACGGCGCCGTTGTTCCAGTCGTACTCGTCGAGTGGTGTATTCTTGGGCGTCATTATGGCTACTGCAGATGAGATGATGACGATGCGCTTGACGTTTGGGCTGTATGCATCTGGGAATTTACTTGTATTCAACTTAGGACGAGAGAGAGACGCACCCGTGCTTGCGTGCACTCTCGAGCATGCCAATGGTACCTTTCACAGCGGGCTCGGAGAGTTCGGCGGGGTCATTGGCTGCAAAGTGGAACGGGGAAGCGGTATGTGCGATAGCGTCGATTCTCGTGACGGCATCGTCGAACGCGCCGGGCTAAGGGTACAAAAAAACTCTGCTCAACGTCGAGATTAGAAGGCTCCGGTGGATAACGTACAGCAGTGATGTCGGGGACGACGAGAAGCTCAAAGTTGTCGCCGTACGACGCAAAAAGCTTTTCGAGATGCTTTCCCTTGTTGGCGGAGCGGACAGTGCCGCGGACGGAGAAGCCAGCCTCGAGGAAGGTCTTGACCACCCACTAACCAGCAAAACAAATCAGCTGCCATTGAATTGGAACCCGAGACGCAAAGTTGAAAGACGGACAGTGGCGACGAAACCGTTGGCGCCCGAAACAAGGATTTTTCCAGATTGAAGAGAAGGCATTGGAGTTGTGGATACTGAAATACTCGTCGGTGGAAAGATCGCTTTATACTGTGGTTCGATGGCGAGTTGTATGTTTAGCTCGCGGCTGCCCCGGACTTGGTCGGCAGTTTCGGGCGCCCAGTTGAGTCAGCTACAGGCCGTGAGACGATTACCCATATCTCGCGCCAGTCCTCTAGTCAATCATTTCGGGGTACCACGGACCTGTGTGACCTTTGGCCGTAATCTTAATAAGTCAGGTGGAGCGCTTGTGAAGTTCTTCGAGTCGGCGAATGCAAAGAAACACCCCAAAAGATTGTCGCGTCTTACGTTTATTCGCCGGTGCTGATTATGCGCAGGCCCTAAGAGGGAAGGCTGCAAATCCAGGCTCACACCCATTTCCTTTGCCCCATTGCCGTCCAAAACGATTAGCGCCACATTTCATTGCATAGAGCAAGACACACACTTGATATACGGCATCACGAAGCCGGTGGCCACAACGAGGTCCTTGTGTTGGCCGTCTGTATACTCCGTCAGCGCCGAACCCCCTGCAGCCGCTCACGAAGACTCGGAGAGCCAGCATGACGGAGGATTGGAAGCGCAGGTCGGTCGCAAATCCAGAGAACCCACCATCCATAATGATACGCCGTGGTAATGCATACCGTGACGACCACAAAGTGCGAGTGGGAGCGGGTCTGAGGGGAGGTGCGGAAGGATTGCGCTCGCCGATATAGGGCTGGAGGAGCACGAAAGCCCCGACGGAAGATCCGCAGGTCGAACGCCCACGATCTCAGCACTCGACGACGACGTAGCGATACCTCGATCCAGAATATCACTCAGTCCCCTCC